ATTATGAGAATAAAATCTTAGCAATATGAGAATAAAGTCTAAATATTTTGAGAATATGTTATTGTGTTGGTATTTTGACAGGTTTAGGACTGTTATGGACAGCTGACTCCCAAAGCTTTTGATATTCTTCATATTCTGTGTGGTGGTTAATTTGCAGGAGTAACAGAAATGAACTTTTCCAATAAGTTTAAATTAATGTTTACCTTTTATGGGCATTTTTACCTTTATAAGGGCAATTTTTTTTCTAACCTATAATTAAATGTGTGCATCATCTTTTGTTTCAAATTCTAACATCTAATCAATAAATTCAAATAGTAAGACACTATAGGGCTGTCACCAATCAAATGAAATCAGTATCAGCAAAATTTGTGTTTGCAATGCAGAGGTGGCACACAATCTGGATCTGAAGTGGCATTTAGATGCATTCACACAGACTGTTTAATGCAGGACATGAATGCAGTTAACCTGCAGTTACAAATGGAAAAAATTAGATGTTTTAAAACAAAACGTTGAATACTGATATTTGAAATGATTTGGCAGAAAAAAGGGGAAAATATATTTTAAATGTAAACCTAAAATCGCCAGTAGGGGCCGCAAATCACTGCATGAGTTAGTCATTGAGTCATTCATTCAACCGATTCGTTCAAACAGCTGACTGATTCCGTAACGAAACACTGTTGTGTGCTGCTCAGAGACGCAAAACAGTTCTGCTGTGGCTTTGTTTGGAATTAACTTCTTTGTCGAAATACAGCAAAAACAAGAACTATTGTGTCTAAAGTGTAAGTCACTTAATATTAACTTTTGTTTATCAAGCTGTTCATCAAATCATTATCACATTTGCAATCGTGTTGATATATGGAGAAAACGTCACTCTTCTTGTGATATTAACTATATCAGATGATAAAAATATAAAATACATACTATTTATAAATAAAATATACATTTCATACCATCTTGAATTTTGGGGCAATTCTAAATGTATTTTAATAGACTAAACCATGCAGTGAAAGAGTGATGTCAAATCGCATATTGTTTAAAGGGATCCTATTATGCTTTTTCAATTTTTCAACTTCAGTTAGTCTGTCATGTTGCTGTTTGAGCATAAAAAAGATCTGCAAAGTTACAAAGCTCAAAGTCCACTTCAAAAGGAGATATTTTGTTTAACAGAAATCACTTTTCAAAAACTACAACGAATGACTTTTTTGGACTACAACGCATATTTTCCGGGATTTGTGATATCACAAAGATCGACGAATGAGATGAGACCTGGGTGAGCTGCACTAGAGAAGGCAGAGTGTTATCACTATGTCGGAGACACGCTAGCTTTCCCAAAGCAGACAAACTTAGAGTGGTTACAATCATCCTGGTTTAAAGCGCGCTCAAATTTATTTGATTTTGACGCAATATTTACACTGAAGCTCGCAGGCGGCTATGGTAAGGGGCGTGACATTTCCCGACCAGGCGCCGAGTGCTGCCAATCACAACACACACTGGCCCAGCTAACCAATCACAACACACACACTGTCCCAGCTAACCAATCACAACATATTTCGTGTTTCAGATGGCAGACCTTCATTTGATACAGGAATTATTTGAGCCGTTCATGCCAGACTGGGGAGAGAGGTGTTGTAATAATGTAAAATATGTGAAAAATTATGTTTTCGAACTACCTAGTATGAGAGCCTGCTCTAGTACACCCCCAAAACAAAAGAGCATAAAGGAGCATAATAGGACCCCTTTAATATATTTTTCAAATATTTGTTAGGACAAACCTTAACAGTCCCAAAAACAGCCTTCATTTTCTTTTAATTTTGAGGTTAAATATTGACCTGACAGATTACGTAAGATTCACCTATAAAAGGCGATTCATACATTTATCTGGTGCTTCACTCATTAATTTGTCTTTTGGTATATTATGTTGGTGTGTTCAGCCCCAACCACTGGCACTTCTTGAGGAGGACATCAGAGAGGTTCTGAAAGAAGAAACCGGGGCTGACATCTTCACACAAGTGCAGAACCAACCTCAGTTCAGATCTTATGAGGTACTGGCCACTTTCTTACATATTTGTTCTCACAATCATGCAAATGGGTTTAGTTTAAATGTTCGACAGCTTTTATCTAATGTTAACTCTTAAATTGAACACTAGTTTTTATTTTTAAACTGTGTCATTTGGGGTTCACAGCAGATGGAAGCTCCTGCGAGGAAAGTGAGAAAGTCTTTGGTATTGGACAGCTGGGAAAAAGACTGTTTAAATGTACAACTGTTTCCCCAACAGCAGATTAACAGCAATGGAGCAGTAAGACCATTATCCTACTTTACAAACTTAGGATGCATGAGTGTTTTTAACTTTTTGAGTTTGCAATACTTTTGTTTCTCCTCTTCACGCACTATCTTCGCCCCTCTTTTAGTCTCATAGTAACGACCTACTGACCAGATCAATGCTCATGATGCCATTGACGGAGAGAGAGGAGAACTGTTGCTCTCCTGGATCGCAGAAGGAATCTTTTTCAATAGTCCACTCGCTTATCCCACAGGACAAGAGAGAAAACATGACCCAAAAGAGCCCACCATACCAAACACCCGCTCCGGTAATTCACTCATTTGTTCTGTTAGCATCAAAGGAAAGAAGAAAATAATCTGATGTGACATTAACTTATTAATATCCATTGTGCTTGCAGAAATCCATAATTGACTCTTGTTAACTGAAATAAAAATGCTTACATTTTGAATTTTTATAACTGAATGTTTCATTATAAACCTTAACAAATTTAAGACATTGTGTTTTAGTATTATTTATATACTATTATAGTAATTGTTTATATTTTTAAATGAGCTTTTACTTTATTTTTTCAGTTTTCATTTTAGTTTTAGTAATTTAGTACTTCCGCATATTTTGCTTCAGTTAGTTATGCTGTATAGTTATTATAAAAAAAAAAAACTTTTTTTTTGAACAATTATAACCTGCTTCTTTGATATTACAACCAACTCGACAATATCCATGTTGTCATTCACATACCTAAAAATAAAAAATATGCTCTTCAAAATGTGCCACTTGTGTATTTTTCTTTTGAGGTTGTGGGTTATTCTCTGAAACTGATTCAAACAGTATTTAGCTTTTTGATTGACAGCACTTCCATCCTTCCAAGGACCTAATTTTTTGGCTAATAATCACCTTCTCGCTCATGTCACACTGCGAAAGACCTCACAGAGCCCTGTTCTCTTCTGAAAGCAGGTGTTTACAGCAGTAATGGAAGTTGAGGTCTCTTGAGTTGATGGCTATCTGCTGTCACTGGGCCGTGGGGTCTGTGGACTCGCACCCTCCCTGAACAACACAGCTCTCCACAGGTCAGCTGCTCTCTTTAAAGAGGCCCACTCACCCATGAAATAATGTCTTTTGGTTCTATTGTTCTGTATGTCTGTTGGTTTTGCAGGCCCATTCACTCAATTTCCCCTGAATAGAGGGGCGCAAGGCCCCACTGACATGCCTTCTGCTGCTGACGGCCATTACAAGCCTATAACACATGTGCTCTTATATGTTTCTTTCAAATTTGGAGAACACTTTGCTATTGTATTTTTCAGATGGTCAATGCAGGCTTGAGAGATGTCAAAGGCCCATAGGGGATAAATTGGTTGGCTGGTTTGGGCTTTTGTACAGTGCACTGAGTGCTTGATGGCTACTGAAGCCATTTTGGCTCAATGCAAAACAAACACCTGTTGTATTCTTTGACAATGATGTGTAAATTTAGAAAGAACTTTAATCTTTAGGTTGAAATCCAAGCCTTGGCCTTGATTGATGTGATTATTGGTCTACAAGTAGAAAAAATGCCTCTGCATTTACTGTCCAGCTTATACATTTACTGTAATATTTATGTGTAATATTTGTGATGGCTTTATGTATTTGGGATGTCTCAAGGAGGAGAAGTTCTGAAAAAGAACTGGGAACATATTATTGAATACATTGTCTTGTAGAACTTTAATCTTTAGGTTGAAATCCAAGCCTTGACCTTGACTGATGTGATTATTCTCTACAAGTAGAAAAATAATTACTCCGCATTTACTGGTCGGCTTATAAAATTACTGTAATAGTTATGTGTGCTATTTGTGATGGCTTTATGTATTTTGGATGTTTCAAAGAGGAGACAAAAGCAACAAGAAGTTCTGAAAAAGAACTGGGAACATATGGATTAATTTTATTTATTTATTTACATATACACACCACGTGCATAATTATTAAGCACGTTGATATTCTGATCATTATTTTTCCAAGCACATTTTACCAATTCCAAACCACATCAATCTTAATAACTACTAGTAATTTTGTATTTAATAATTTATAAGTGATATATAATTGTCCATGAAAGCTGGAAGTGAAAAGACCCTTTATATTCAGCTGTGCAGAATTATTAGGCATGTTTTCTTTTACAGATAAAATTAGCCAAAAAAAGAGGTTTAACTCAAAAATGTTTAAATCCCCATGAGAAATATTCAAAACTAATGCAATACAGAAATTGCAAAGTTAAGACATGACCACTGGACAGCAAAATGCTCACTGGGTCAGCGGGGTCAGAATGTGAAGAGTCAATGTGAATTTTCAGTCTTTATTAATGAGTATACAATACATATATCAATAAATACTGACAAGAAAACAAAAGTGTTCCGATTTACAAGTAAACAACTCTTATGAACTGGTTCTTTTTAGTGAATCAATAATACAGCTCGGTCAATCCCGTTCGAATCATGAACAAATAACTCTTTTGAATCGGTTCTTTTAATGAATCATTCAAAAAGCCCGGCAAACTTACGAGTTCCCGCTTGGCGAATCCTTCACTGAATCTGTCAGTTTACTGAATCAGCAGCTGACTCATTGGCTGTTTTGCCATTTTAAGTGATGTCCTGCGCAAAATTATGCAATTTTTGTGTACTTAAAGGGATAGTTCACCCAAAAGTGAAAATTCTATCATTTTACTCACCCTCATGTTGTTCCAAAACTGTTGCCTGACTTTCTTCTGAATGATGTTCACCAAACCGATTTGGTTATCCATTGTATGGACAAAAGAACAGAGACATTTCAAATATCTTCTATGTTCCACAGAGGAAAGAAAATCATACCGGTTTGGAACCACGAGGGTGAGTAATGAAAGAAATTTGGACAAACTAGGTCCATCAAACGTAAATTAGTATCCTTACTGACAGATATGACAAAGTATTTTATGAAAAACTGTATGCACACCATCCTGAATGAATATTGGTCACTCTTTTTCCTAAATTTCCTAAAATTTTAATGTAGAAATGATCTTATTTAATCTCAGGAGTGGGACTAGCACCATGCACACTTTTTACAAGCCTATAACACATGTGCTCTTATATGTTTCTTTCAAATTTGGAGAACACTTTGCTATTGTATTTTTCAGATGGTCAATGCAGGCTTGAGAGATGTCAAAGGCCCATAGGGGATAAATTGGTTGGCTGGTTTGGGCTTTTGTACAGTGCACTGAGTGCTTGATGGCTACTGAAGCCATTTTGGCTCAATGCAAAACAAACACCTGTTGTATTCTTTGACAATGATGTGTAAATTTAGAAAGAACTTTAATCTTTAGGTTGAAATCCAAGCCTTGACCTTGACTGATGTGATTATTCTCTACAAGTAGAAAAATAATTACTCCGCATTTACTGGTCGGCTTATAAAATTACTGTAATAGTTATGTGTGCTATTTGTGATGGCTTTATGTATTTTGGATGTTTCAAAGAGGAGACAAAAGCAACAAGAAGTTCTGAAAAAGAACTGGGAACATATGGATTAATTTTATTTATTTATTTACATATACACACCACGTGCATAATTATTAAGCACGTTGATATTCTGATCATTATTTTTCCAAGCACATTTTACCAATTCCAAACCACATCAATCTTAATAACTACTAGTAATTTTGTATTTAATAATTTATAAGTGATATATAATTGTCCATGAAGGCTGGAAGTGAAAAGACCCTTTATATTCAGCTGTGCAGAATTATTAGGCATGTTTTCTTTTACAGATAAAATTAGCCAAAAAAAGAGGTTTAACTCAGACTGAAAAGTCAAAAATGTTTAAATCCCCATGAGAAATATTCAAAACTAATGCAATACAGAAATTGCAAAGTTAAGACATGACCACTGGACAGCAAAATGCTCACTGGGTCAGCGGGGTCAGAATGTGAAGAGTCAATGTGAATTTTCAGTCTTTATTAATGAGTATACAATACATATATCAATAAATACTGACAAGAAAACAAAAGTGTTCCGATTTACAAGTAAACAACTCTTATGAACTGGTTCTTTTTAGTGAATCAATAATACAGCTCGGTCAATCCCGTTCGAATCATGAACAAATAACTCTTTTGAATCGGTTCTTTTAATGAATCTTCAAAAAGCCCGGCAAACTTACGAGTTCCCGCTTGGCGAATCCTTCACTGAATCTGTCAGTTTACTGAATCAGCAGCTGACTCATTGGCTGTTTTGCCATTTTAAGTGATGTCCTGCGCAAAATTATGCAATTTTTGTGTACTTAAAGGGATAGTTCACCCAAAAGTGAAAATTCTATCATTTTACTCACCCTCATGTTGTTCCAAAACTGTTGCCTGACTTTCTTCTGAATGATGTTCACCAAACCGATTTGGTTATCCATTGTATGGACAAAAGAACAGAGACATTTCAAATATCTTCTATGTTCCACAGAGGAAAGAAAATCATACCGGTTTGGAACCACGAGGGTGAGTAATGAAAGAAATTTGGACAAACTAGGTCCATCAAACGTAAATTAGTATCCTTACTGACAGATATGACAAAGTATTTTATGAAAAACTGTATGCACACCATCCTGAATGAATATTGGTCACTCTTTTTCCTAAATTTCCTAAAATTTTAATGTAGAAATGATCTTATTTAATCTCAGGAGTGGGACTAGCACCATGCATGTATGTGTGTGTGTGTGTGTGTGTGTGTGTGTGTGTTTGTTTAGAGGTGTCCCAGTGCAGCATGTTGTACAGAGCCATCCCATGAAGCCCCTCCCTTGGGTCTGTGTGCTCATTGCCTGCCATTGTGTGCAGTAGACAGCAGATGGTAGGCTATCGCAGCAGTGACAGACCCAGTCATCTGGCAGGCACCCACAGTTCAGGCGGGAAACCCAGGCGTGGTGCTCCACTGCCAATTAAGGTCAGTCTTTCCACTGGTTATGACTGGCTGACTGCTGAGAGTTTGGACACTGAGCTGGCCAGGCACATAGCTATACGGTAGAAGCTTGAGCTATAAATAAGCTCATTTAGATGGGTGATTTTTGAGTTTCAGGAGCAAAAGGGGCCCTGCCACCAAACTCAAACAGAAGCCTATAGTGTGCTGCGCTTCATATAAAGTGTAAGTATGAATGATTCTGCTGCACACACAGTTTAGTACGGAAGCCCGTTTCTGTCACAAAATAAAAAGATAAAAAAGCTTATTGTGACTTTTTATTTTACAATTCTGACTTTATTTCTAGGCCAGGCACATAGCTATACGGTAGAAGCTTGAGCTATAAATAAGCTCATTTAGATGGGTGATTTTTGAGTTTCAGGAGCAAAAGGGGCCCTGCCACCAAACTCAAACAGAAGCCTGTAGTGTGCTGCGCTTCATATAAAGTGTAAGTATGAATGATTCTGCTGCACACACAGTTTAGTACGGAAGCCCG